TTATTTATTCGTTTACTTTCTTCTTTCTTTTTTTTTNTTTTTTTTTTTTTTTTTTTTTCTTTTTTCTCTCTCTCTCTTCCCCATCAAAGTGTAAAAATTATCTTATCGTATTATACGATGAATGTACAGTATGTATTTTACGCTCGAATGTACATGTATTTTGTACAAGGTAGTACCATTGATTGCCTGCTTAGATAATTGCACAAAAAAAAAAGAAAGAAAAAAAAAAACGTTTCGTAAATACAAACGAACGATGTATTTGATGTGAAGTAAAAAAAAAAAGAAAAGAAAGAAAGAAAGAAAGAAAAAAAGAAATTTGTCGATTACTCGATTCTCTTACATGTATGATATACGTATATATAATGTTATCTCCTTATATATATATATAAAACCGTATGCGTGTGGAACGAAGAAATGATCTTTCTAAAACAAATGAATTTCATTCCCTTTTTAGAGCATTACGGAGACTTTCTAACGTTCATTATCCCGTTTTTTACAGCTCGTCTCCATTAACGTTGTATGATTCTAGTCGAGCGTTGCCACCACCAGCTCATCACAGCTCGGCCAGACCGTTACTGGCAAGTCATGCAGCGCATCCACTGCCTGCACATATGCAGCCAACAGCCGTTTACGGATTGGCCCCGCTTTCACCGGCCAAACATCAATATCAACCTTCTAGTTTGTGGTTCACCGAGTAAATTATTCCTCTGTCTGGTTTCAGAAGAAAAATCAAACGGCGCGCGAGCACTGGCTTTCGCCGCATCTTTTATTTTTTTTTTTTTTTTCTTCCTTCTTTTCTTTTTTAAGAAATTTTACAAGATCGAAAGATACCGCCTGCTACCACGATGACCGAATAAAAGGGAAAAAGAGGGCTCGTCGTATTTGTCACGTTCATTCCTCGCAAACGTGTGTTTTTTTACTAGCAAACGAAGGGGATTTTTCGCGATACTATTATCAACTATTGTAAACAGAAAATAAAACGCCAAGCTTGTATTGTTGTCACGAAAAAGAAATTCATGACTGAAAAGACTCGACGGAGTCCCAAGACAAGACCGTTGAAGTTCTTCTTCTTCAACTTAACTTTTAGACAATCCGTCCTTAAACAGCGATCGCCCCCCTTCGAACTGCCTGTCTGTGCTATTATATATAAAAAGAAGCAGAAGAGAAGGGAAAAAAATGGAGAATTATCCATTATTTCGATTGAAAAAGGAAATATATATATGTGTGTGTATATATATATATATATATGGATCCGAAAGTCGATAGACTGATCGCGTTTGCGTCGCGTCCTAATGCTTTCATTAGCGTATTTGTCGTACGTAATATCCATTGTGAAACGTGTTGTCTTTTTTCCTTTTGTTCGGTAAATCGTACATATTTGAACGAGAAAGTAGATGAAAGTTAAAAAAAGGAAAAAAAAAAAAAGAAAGAAAAAGAAAAAAGAAAAGAGAGAAGAGTAGAGAAATACGAGATAAAGAGAGAGATAAAGGTTTTTTCGATGCTTCTCATTGCGCAATTGTTTCCTCAGTGAACCATTGCTTTGATGATTTATATTTGTACTATTTTTTTCCAAATATTATTTGGTGAAATATGATCGATATACAATTTTGTTCGGCTTAGACGGCGCATATGTTATATACCTGGCAGTATATATATATTATATACTTGATGTGTTTTGTATATTTTTGAACGAAAAAAAAAAAAAAAAAAATAATGTTGCCGCGCCAAAAAAAAAAAAAATTACGTAGATGTGTAAACGAAGAAAAGACCAAGCGATTTTGTCATGATATCTGAATTTGTATTGTTTCAAATTATGCGCGGTTTAAGTAGGTAAACCATCGATATCGTTGATTTGGTAAAAAAAAAGAAAAAAAAAAAAAAAGAAAAGAAAAAAAAGAAAAAAAAATTGGGCTACTTTAGTCTACAACAATTAGCAAGTTATCTTTTAATCAAAGTTCAGCGTTAACGGGAAATAAATTTGCATTTCTTTTATTATGATATGATACACATATCATACACATATTATATTTTTAATGATGCTCGTTAACAAAGATAATCTTAGCGCGGCAATTAGTTGATAGAATTTCAACAACAGATTTTTTTTGTTACTGAGCGTGACAACGCTTTAACAATATATATTAAGCGTTCTCTTTCAAACGGGCTATTGATGTCGATGAAGAATCCCGTTCTATAGTCGTGTGGAGGGAGTTGATCAATTTTACACGCATACACACATCATACACACAACACATTGATTCGTTGTAATAAAATGTGTTCCAAGTTTTATTTGTTGTCGTCTCAATAGGAGTGGTGGTGATATTTCTTGAGCATCCTTCTTAGAATGCTGCTACATGAAAGTGTGTGTTTGGGTTTAGAATCGAATTCTTCTATTTTGATTCAAACATGTTACGAATATATTTAATCGCACGATTAATTTGTATTTGACAAAAGCTGTGCCTTCTCGCAGCAGCCTCACTATTTATTTTTACTACGTAATTACTCTTATTCTCCTCATTATAATTATTACTATTACTATTATCACTATTACTACTACTACTACTACTACTACTACTACTACTACTACTACTACTACTACTACTACTACTATTACTATTACTACTACTATTATTATTGCGATTAGGCATCACTGATTTTAAGATAATTACACATTAGCAGTTCGCAGTTTTCTTCGTAGATATCCCCCCCTGTTTACAATAGAATCGCATTAGATCCGTTCGAATTGAGAATTTTCTTGCTCTTACAACATTTTTTTTTTTCAACGTTGAACGATTCTCGTACAATAAAATTCACACACTTTTCTTTTCATCGACACCTTTACGTTTCACCTGTTACGTTTCAACGTTTTGCATTTCACCAGGGGTTATATATTTAAGAATGTACCTATCGGGTACATTGCACAAATATGCGGTACACAATTAATCAGAATGGGCAACAACAAAGGGATGTGTGTACAATAATCGCGAGAGATTGTAAAAATTTGAGGGAAAAGGATTGATTGGAAGGGTTGGTATTCAATCTTTGCAAGACTCAATTCGTCGAAAAGGACGAATGTTCGTTGCAAGTATTCGCTTACAATGTCGGATTGCACACATTTTTTTTTTTTCTTCAACGTACACTCGATTCTTTCTATCTTGCGATCAGCGTGTCAATGGTGCAACTTCTTTTTTTTTTTTTTTTTTAAAGCAATTTTTTTTTTCTCTCCCCTTGAATCGAATCACGTTCTTCCTTGTCGCTCTTCTTCGCGTCAGTATAAAAGGAAGCAATTTCTTAATGGGGGAAAAAGAAAAAAAAAGAAAAAAGTATTGATCGCAATTCTCCGCATTCGATGTACATGTGCATGCCCAGGTGTCGATTTGTACATATAATTATCGCGAGTGGCTCTCTTCCTACATTTTAACGTTGAAACAGCTGTAAAGGATGGATTTGCACACTCATCATTTTACGACTCGCGAAATACTTTTAATGGAAAAAAGGAAAAAAAAAAACATTGATTTTTTTCTGCGTGCTGACGTATTATATCTCGTGGTTTTTAATGGAATGACGCTTAGGCATTGTTTTGCTAATTATTTTATATACATAGCTGTATGATAACGTACGGAATATTAGCTGTGGTATGTTGATCGTAGAGTGAACCATGTCCAGAGTTTAATTAGAAGTATTTTACACTTAGAGCGAAAATGTTGAATGAATAAACGTGGGGTGAATAAACGTGCGTGGTTAGCGTGATTGGTAGAGAGAAAGAGGAAGAGAGCGAGAGAGAGATGTGTTAGAGAGAAAGAGAGAGTGTGATAGAATGACATTTTTAGATATGTTACCTATATCGTGAAGAAATTTTTCAATTTACCTAAAAAAAAAAAGAAAAAAAATTAACAAAATGCTAATTCGTAATTAATTCCAATTCGATAGATAGACGATGGATTATTTTACAACATTAATCAAAAGACACTTATTACGAAGATTCGGGTAATAATATATTCTCCATAATTTATTCTCGCGAATTATTTAAATGTCCGTTCGATTTAATTTTTTTTAAACAAATTTCAAATTTATGCAGCACGTTATTATAAATGAATGCAAATTGGCTTCATCCGTATCTTCATTTACGCGCATTATTAATATCGGTGTAAAATTAAAGAGGAAAAAAAAAAAAGTCATGTAACCAAGTCGATGTGCCTGTTTAACGATTAATCATATTTTACATTTATATTTACTGCAAACCGAGTATAGTAGACTCACGAAAAAACGTGTATAGCGAAAGTTGCACGTTAAACGAAAGAAAACAAAAACAAAAAAAAAAACAAAGTTACAATCAGCTTGTAAGTGTTACGTATTGTATCGATCACACGGTACGAATTATACGATTATAATTATTATACAAACACGTTTGCGCGCCTATACATGTATATATGTATGCTTCCATATAAACCGTAGAAATTGTGTCGCATAGAAGAAAAGTTTTCTTCTTCTCTTAAGTCGTGAGAAACAAAAAGTCATATCTTTAGATTTTTTTCGCATTCTTTTCGTAGAGAAGGAAAATAAGGAAACTGTCGTTGCGGGTGTGTATCTATAGAAACGTTA